GTCCAAAATGACTTTGCAAAAAGAACATTAATATCCTGCAAAAAAAGGATTCCAACTCTTAAGATCACCATTATGTGAAGAATATAAATCAGACTTTTCATTTCATGAGATGTTGGACAAGTTTCTCGGTTAAGGAAAGCTCTTAAAGTTCACCATTATATTAAAAAAATAAATAAACTTTTTATTTCATGAGATCTTCTGTTTACAAAGCATAGTAAGACATACACTAAGGAAGCAGGACCAGGAATAGTTAGTTAAACCTTCTTTTCCATTCATGTAGGTACCAACTCGATTGTTATTTGTATCATCTGGTACATAAAGCTTGGAGGAATGAGAGAGATGAGAAAACCAGATCAAGATTCAAGAGAATGCTAACTTACCTCACAATAGCATCAGGATTTAACACAAATTTCTCGGCCTTAACCAAGTGGATGCACCCTGTACAGAGGATACAAATAAGAAATCCATCTGGCGCATCTTGCTTTCTAGAAAACCATTATTCTTGATGGTTTCAACATATGTTTTCTGTAATATAAGAAAGAAGCTTTAATATCCACCCAAAACCGAGAGAAGTTTAGGAGAAGGAAATATTGAAGCACAGGTGACTGTTTTCATCATGACAACACATTTAACATGTCCAAAATGACTTGAAAAAAGAACATTAATATCCTGCAAAAAAAGGATTCAAACTCTTAAGATCACCATTATGTGAAGAATATAAATCAGACTTTTCATTTCATGAGATGTTGGACAAGTTTCTCGGTTAAGGAAAGCTCTTAAAGTTCACCATTACATGAGGAAAATAAATAAACTTTTTATTTCAAGAGATCTTCTGCTTACAAAGCATAGGAAGACATACACAGGTAGCAGGACCAGGTATAGTTAGTTAAACCTTCTTTTCCTTTCATGTAGGCACCAACTCGATTGCTATTTGTATCATCTGGCACATGAAGCTTCGAGGAACGAGAGAGACGAGAAAACCAGATCAAGATTCAAGAGAATGCTAACTTACCTCACAATAGCATTAAGATTTAACACAAATTTCCGGGCCCTCACCAAGTGGTTGCACCCAGTAAAAATGACACAAATAAGCAATCCATCCGGTGCATCTTGCATTCTAGAAATCCAATATTCTTGATGGTTCCAACATATGTTTTCTGTAATATAAGAAAGAAGCTTTAATATCCACCCAAAACCAAGAGAAGTTTAGGAGAAGGAAATATTGAAGCAAAGGTGACTGTTTTAATCATGACAACACAATTAACATGTCCAAAATGACTTTGAAGAAAGAGCATTAATATCCAGCAAAAAAAGGATTCAAACTTTTAAGATCACCATTATGTGAAGAATATAAATCAGACTTTTCATTTCGTGAGATGTTGGACAAGTTTTACGGTTAAGGAACCTCTTAATGTTCAACATTATATGAAGAAAATAAATAAAATTTTTATTTCAGGAGATCTTCTGTTTACAAAGCATAGTAAGAAATACACTAAGGCAGCAGGACCAGGTATAGTTAGTTAAACATTCTTTTCCTTTCATGTAGGTACCAACTCGATTGTTATTTGTATCATCTGGTAAATAAAGCTTGGCGGAACGAGAGAGATGAGAAAACCAGATCAAGGTACAAGAGAATGCTAACTTACCTCACAATAGCATTAGGATTTAACACAAATTTCTCAGCCTTCACCAAGTGGATGCACCCTGTACAGATGATAGAAACAAAAATCCATCTGGTGCATCTTGCTTTCTAGAAAACCATTATTCTTGATGTTTTCAACATATGTTTTCTGTAATATAAGAAAGAAGCTTTAATATCGACCAAAAACCAAGAGAAGTTTAGGAGAAGGAAATATTGAAGCAGAGGT